TATTTAAAATTTACTTTTTAGAATCTGAAATTAGCTAAATAATAACTAACGTTTTTATAATAAAATTTATTCTTTTAAAAGAACTTGACAAAAAACAAAACCTAATTTTGAATCCTCATCACAACTTGAAACTTATTATCTCTAATGGTCCGTGTGTTTAAATGATTTGCCGGTCTGGCTGAAATAATGAGAGCCTGGAGAGTAATCTCCTTTTTTGGTTTAGTCGAAATTGTCTTGGCTGGGTCCATGGTTGTTAAAGGTTATCATCTCATCTCAGTTTTCCAGTCATGTCAGCATGGTAAGGAATGTCGATCAGATAGGGGTTATTGTCTTTACCCTTAAGCCTCTCCACTTGTATATATATATATATATATATATACATATACTTGTCCGATCTTTGTGAACTCTTTTCTTTATGCAACAAAGAAGAGCGCGCCCACTCTACGAGAAAGAAGCTCGGTCTAATTTTTCTCAATGAGTTGCAAAATATTGATGATAATAAATTTTTATTTTCAAATTCAATCCTTATTTTTGTTTTTTCCTTTTCTTGTACAAATTAGGAAATACAAGTGATACGCACAATTTCATGCGATGTGAATGAAACATTCTGAAGTGATTTCTCAACTTATGCATCAGTCATAAACGCGCTTTTTCAGTTACGCTCTAACGAGACCCCTCACTTTTGCGTCATAATGCCTGCATTCAGTACTTTCTGAACATTCCCCTCGAGAACATCGTTTTGCGCGGTTGTAAATCCCGATCGTTTCCAAAACCCCAGCGACAGTCGCTAAAATCTTTAAGTATCGCTACACCAATCCCAGTTTCTCCACGTGACAAAAGATTGTTATTTCTTTTTCTTCCCTTGTCTACTTTTCCAACTTCTTTATGTTATAATATCTTTGTCCCTAAACCAAGAGATTTTCCTTCAAAATCTCTCAAGAATAAAATCACCAAAAATTTCATCTAAATCTTTCTTTTGTGTATAAATATCTTAAACTTTCTTCTTCTTATTTATTCAGGATACTTTACTTTTTTCGAATTTTTAAATCATTTTTTATATCAAAAATTATTTGAAATAATTATTTAAAGTAATTTTAAATACTTTTTTTTATCTGTTAAATTATGGTTGAAGAAATAAATCATATTTTTGTCAGAAGATATTTTATAATTGCCAATTCCAATTGCCGCTATCCTCCATATAAAGTATGCCATAAATGACTCGAGTATGGACAGTTTCATTCCAAAGTATAATATTTCGCAATAACTGTTCCCAGTATAATTATATTTGAAATCAATATAATATTTTTTCGCCTCCTACCTATATGACTTTCCAAAATGAGATTCTTAATTATAAAAATATTGTCAATGACAATAAATGTGTTTCAAGATAAAAAAAAAGAGGTAATTTCAAAACCTTGAAATATTATACTCCTCTCGTACTTATGTTCATCATCCGTCAAATATTTTACGAGTCATTAACATAAATTCCGTTTCACTTTGAAGTGTTCACCTGTTCCTTGCGAACTTGACAAAATATTTATATTATATTCATAAAATTTTTTTAGAGATCAATATTCGAAATTTAGAATTATAGATCGATAACTTCCATAATTTAATTAACCCATTTGGAAAAAAATTCAAATTTCATAAAAAAAAATAAATATCCGCGAGAAAAACAATTTTTGTTATGCGATAAAGGGAAGATAAGAGCGATATAGTTGATCGCATGCGGTATAAAGGGGAAAGGAAGTTTATTGGTCCGGCGCTGGTCGTTTATACTGAATGGCAAGCCTTTAAAAATGAGGAGATGGAAAAAAAGGATTGTAGAAGCCAGTGGACCAACGTAGTGTCTTCTTTTTTTTTTCTTGCCTTTTTTCCGGACCCGTCGGGGCCCTCTTGGAACTTGGCGGGCTAGTAAGCCCGCGATCTACCGTAACCACATTCCTCCTCATCTTCCCTTCTTCCTTCTTCCCCTCCTACCTCAATATATACCTTAACGCCTTATCCAGCTTCCACCTTCATCATCTCTCATATCAAGTACCCACTCTTTCTCAATCGTCATGCTTCTCGCCCCTTTTGTGGTGAGTTCCCCTCACTCATCCCTGTTGCCGCTTCATTTCTTTCTTTTTTTTTACAGAGATATTACCTCGAACAAAAGAGAATCGAACCACGTAACGATGCGCTACTGGATTCTTGAAAGCTGTATCACAACCAATGTATGAAAGCAAAACCTGTTATGCGATGTACCATGATAAAATATCTTTTTTTTTTCATTTTCATATTCTAATTTCACGTAAATCAGTATCATCTTCATGGCGCGTCATTAATCATCAATTATTATATCTTCAGAAACAAAAAAAGTTTTCTTCTCTAATACAAAAAAATAATTTCGCATAATTACTTAATATCCAATTTCGGATTTTTTCTAACGAAAATGAAAAATGTGAAAAACATGTTTTTAAAGAAAGAAAAAAGCGGATGCAATTTCAGGATATATATATATATATATCATTAACGATCAGCAATATAATCGTGCGTTCTTTGAATCAAGTCGGCTCGTGCGAGTTCTGCGTACAATTGAACAAGGGGATTCATTAAACCCTTTCGAAGAAGCAACCGATATATCAGAACACGATAATCTACTGGGGCACTTTGAATCTGATCCTACGCCACTGACCGCGAGGTGTCCCAAATCTCGAGCAAAGATCGTGATTGCCATTTGCCTGTCTCGCACGTTCTAAGACTGCTCTGTTCAAAAGCAGTCAGTACAGAAATTTCCGTTCTGCTTTATCTCCGTCAATAAAAAAAGAAAAAAAAAAAAATCTGAGCCAACAACCAGGACTTGCACACCTTATCAAGATTCATGAAAAAGTAATCCTCATCCATGTAGGTGGATCGCGGATTTCCACCTCGTAAACTAAACAACATCCCCTAATTGATACATATCATCCATAAGATAATATCACAAAATTAATAGTCCTCTACTAAAATCAAAATCATCATCGATTAGAGTGGGCAACAGTGGGTTGATAAATATTTCTATTCGAGAAAACAAGTGACTCAAAATTTTGCAGACATAAAATTTACCATATTCACGACAAGAGACAAAGGCTATATAGCTAATAAAATTGAGGTCATAAAAAAGCAGAAATCGACAACAGAAAGAGAGGACCGCAAGTTCGCTCTAGGCATTTTGTAAGGGGATAATTTAGGTTCGTGTGGCGGCTCACTGCCCGCAACCATGAATTACTCGCACTTTCTTGATATCTTGGTTCATACAGCGAGAGTTGTATGTGTTTATATATATAGATAGTCTCCCGAGAGACTTTGCGGCTGACGGTGAGCCGTGTCTTGTCGGTCTTCCGAAGAAGAAAGAGCGGCCCTTGAGGGCACTTTGCATAGCGATGCTGAGCCTCATCGGCTTACGGCGGACCTCCCACGGAACAACCGTCGCGACTATACCTCTCTTCTTTGCACCTTCTTTCACTTCAATATCCTTAACCTTCCTTTCCTTCTCCCTCCCACCTTCTCAACCTTCACCTAACCATACTACTCTTCGGACCAACCATGATTCAAAGATCGAAGATGATACCCCCTTCGCGAAAAGAGTATTGTTTCAAGAAATTCACAATATCTTCATATTAACTTAATTGGCTTTGCATAATAACAACTAAAAAAAAAATCTCGAAAAAAAACATTCAGACAAGAAATAAGTGAATAAGTAAACCAAAAAATCAACCTATTATTTTTTTTACCGTAATTACTCACTGTAGCTAAAATTAAAACCTTATTAAACTTGAAAAATAATTATTAATTTAAAATTATTAAATTAATAATATTGGTTTAATTAAAGTCTGTTAAAATAGTTTCAATCATTAATAGTTAAACAGAAGAATGTAGGACAAAATTTCTTTAATTATATTGAATGATTTCAATTATATCAAAGAACAATCTTAAAGTCTGTTCGCAAGTAGGTTAAGGACAAAATTGTGTGAAGTATTCACCTTCACTATGCAAGGAATTCTCATGGACGATTACAAGCAGAAAATTCGGAATCTTTTTTATTTGTTCCCCTGTTTATAGTGTAAACTTGTAGACATTGTATAGGAATTTCAAGGTAAGATTGGATTCAAGAAACCTGAGCTTCGAGCCGGACAGGCAGAATATATATGTGCTCTTAAGACCGTCATTAACTATTAGCAGTCTCGTATTAATTAGAGTCAAGAACAGGTATAGTGATAAGGATAATAACCGATATAAAGATAATAATCTAAATGAGCTATTGCCCTTACAGTCTTTTTATCCTATTAATAACCAATTAAATGAATTTTAATTAACATTTTTCAATTATTAATTATTAGTCAATAATTAATAGAATAAAAAATTGTCTACGCCTCGTATATAAATCTTTGTTTAAGAATCATAATAATTAATAGATTAAACTGAATCCAGGGTGCAAATTTTGTGGTTTTATTAGCAAATTCTCGGGAAATCACCTTCCGCTATTGTGCACTCTGAGTTTCATCCAAAGGGATTAATTCAAAATCACATCAAAGTACCTACAGGATCACACAACCCTTTAGCGAATTCAAAACAATGGAGATTAAGAGATCGGCATTGTGTTAAGAGAAACAATGAAGTAGAGAAAACTAAAACACATACTGAATTCACGCGATAATGGATGAACGTACGCTCATGCGGAGTTTGTATATATAAAAACACTCATTCACACTATTGTATAGTCTCAAATGCACTCTCCAGACTTCTATATACATATACACAATAATATGCAAAACCGTCGAAAAAAAAGACGTTAATGGCATAATTACAATTGAGAAAAAAATCCCATTAGATCCTCAATTATATAAAAGATCGTTAAATTTTTTTCAACTATAAAATGACTAAAATTTTTTAATAAAATATTCTTTATTAGTTTCCTTCACTTTTTTATGTTAAATAAAAGAAAAAATCGGCTGTCTCAAAAATAAAAAATGACTTACCGATCGGTGAATCCCACGTTGGAAATAACCGCAACCGTTTATTTTGACTCGCGAAGATCTTTTCTTTCACCGCACTGGGGACGATTTTCTTCTTTTATACTCTTCCTGTCCATTAGGATTTTTGATGGCAAGACACTGCAAAAAAAAACAATTATAAAATTACTGTCCATTTTTTTTTCATTAAAAAAAAAACTTCTAAATTTTTGATCAGTTTTCTCTTTTCCCTAATCTCTGAATGTGTTATGAATTATTACATTGAGTGATAAAATTAATTTTCTGTTACAGCGGAATCTGACATTTGTTCATTTGCTCTGAAGACGGATCATTTTCAATCGACGAACAAACCTGTGACCTCGTTGTTTACAGCGGACACGAGGCCAAAAGCATTGAAAGAATTATACGACGCCGCGGCAATTGTTGCTGTACGAAGTTTGGATTCTTTAAGAAGAGATCAAGATGGCAGTTCTATGGATATGTTCCTCTGCACTCCTGTCCTTGGCAAAAGAAGGCGAGATCGCAGTCTCGACATTGAATCAAGAGTCGTAAGTATTGGACCCGTATTTAAAAAAAAAAATTTTCAATTATTTGCGAATTATTGAATTATAAATACAATAAATTTTGACGCACACAATAATGCAAATCAGTTACAAACTATTGTTACATATTTCAAAAGGAATTTCTAGATAAATTATTCAATGCACCTGTAAAGGTAGTACGTGTCCCGAGAAACCTGCAAAGGATTTGTTGAATTCAATATTGAAAAAAAGATCTTTTGCCTAGAAAATACTTTTAGAAATTGTCCCAACGAATATACTCTGTGTTCAAGTGAACAGGTTGAATGGGAGATGGCATTGGATGCTGTGCTGTGTATCTACTGAGATATATAAATTGAGAGGCACCCGGTGGTCTGCCTCTCTTGGTCAAGAAAGCAGTTTCAGGTATATCTCTCTGCCAAGAAGAATTATTTCATTCACACGTCGGCTCCCTTTTTTCTGGAATAAATCCTTTGGCATTAATCTTAAATTTGTTGGATGCTGAGACTAATTTAGATCCTCAAAGATTTTTTCTTATATCAAAAACTAATCCCCAAGATATACGAAAAGATATTTATTATTTTTTTTATAATTCGTTATTTCTTTCGCACCTAATTTTCGATCAGGTTAACACCAAATACATTCTTGATTTACAATTCAAATTGCAAATTCTATTAAAATAATTACTTTATTGTTAATGCACAATTAAATATCCAGTTTTGAGAATTTCTCCTATTGAATAAATAGAAATCCTTTTAGAACAATATATCTTTGTTACGGATAATTGTTATTGATTTCTTTTTCCGTAACCGTAATTGGTTGATTCATGAGCACTATAAAGAAAATCACAACAAAGAACCAAATTTCAGTAAACATTCCTACTCTATCCCTATACTATTGTTTGACAAAGATTAATTCGAATCTATTCTATTGTCTTCTAGATTTCAACTTTGTAATTAATGAAAAATATTTGCTAAAACCACATGTTGACAAACATTGGTGAGTCAGAATTTTATCTGAGAATTCTATAAATGAAATAACAAACATCCCTATTGCACCTCTTGGTCTGGCAACACTGGAAATTCCACCCACTCCGTTGAGAGGTTTCTCTCGGGACCCAGCCGTGTAAGAACTCTGTACGAAACTCAAGATTATAACGGGTGATTGAAAATTGATTTTGAAAAGATACTTTTAGAAATAGAATTCAATTTAAATCTCTTTCAACAATGATTGACATTAAGTGTATGTAATAAAAAGTCAATAGTGAATTTTAAAAACTCGTTTCTCTCTCAATTTTCGTTGGGAGAAAATAATTAAAAGTCCCACTAGTCGTTTAGAATAATCCTGTACTCACAATTTACAGTACTTGTTAAAAAAAATATATATACTCTTCATCATTTTTGAAATGGTTTATCGTCACCTGTGCGACACATTCCGGAAAACGAGTAAAACCCCAACAAAATTTACTGTTGGTTTACAAGATGTAACTTACAGTGACATTTATGAACACTCTGTCTGACCATAACTTGGAATATTCTACCAACATTTCAAATGTCAAATTTTTAATTTAGTATCAATTTCAAATACAAGTGTCGCGAGATGAAAATTTTAGGAAAAAAGTTGACATCAATTTTAATAAAAGGTCATAAGAATTCGGCTATATATATATTTTTTTTAACAAAAAGAAAAGAATTTAACTGTTACGTTTAAGACAATGAAAATTAAATTAAAATCAGCTAAATTTCAGATAGAGATTTTTCAAAATTCTAAATACAAATCTCCAAATATATTTTGTTTTCATACAACTTTCAGCTTAAATTGAGATTGATCTTTTTTTTCCAAGACTCATTTAATTTGACACGAACCTCAAAAATGAGATTTTCTTTTTCCCGTAAACTCTCCTATTGTGAATTGTTTGTTTTTCGAAAAAGAAAAATTTTGCGGCAAAGAAAGAGAGGAAGATGATAAAGTGATTTTTTTTTTGAGACACCCTATGTACTTAGCGCGTATTCGACAAGGCCGTGCAGGTTGCCGGCAGGTTACGTATATCTTTTAGCAAAAGGGAACTCCTGTGGCGGGTTTGGTCCTGTTGTTCCTTTTCTCTGTTCTTTCCTATCCTACGTTCGTTATACCTGCCGACGTGGCGCTAATGGACCAAAACTCCCAATAGGAAATCCGTGGTGTATATACTATACACACATATATATATATAAATATACGAACACGTGTACGAAGCAAGAATCTTGTAAAAGCCTTCTTCGCTTTGAAGAGTAACATAAATCCGCCCTATCACATGTGGCAATCAACTGGAAATCGCTAACCAATAAATTTGCCACGCGATATAATAATTGCATAGAAGATAGAGCTTAAATGGTAAAAAGTTGAAATTAAATGCGACAGGCGCATATTTCAAAATTTCCTCTATATAAATAAAAGTCCCGTTTCCAATCATATTCCAACAACTAATTAAATTACTCGATTCGAATTTGATTGCTAAATTAGTCGTAATATTTTCCGATTCGATAAACGTCCATTGTAATTTACTTATGAATTTATTGTGTCTGGATGAACACACACGACATACTTTCACTTTTAACATTGTTCCATGCGTGGCAATATATATTATATTTGCACGTTATGCAGTCTGGAAAAAATATATATATATATATAAAAGTTGAGAGGATCCGATCAAGTTTAATGTGAGCAGTATCATAAATTATGTGAACAATAATAGCGCCTTTTATTTTACACGAAATTTAATGGTCACCATAGAATCACGTGGTCACGTTATTTTGCTTTTTATGCAACAGTGACCCGACTGGATAAGATGCCATAAAAGATTTATTCAACTCCTCTTTTTTTTTTGTATCGAAATCAACAAAGAATTTTTAAAATTATTCAACGTTTTTAAATAATTGACGATTCAGATAAATATTTTTATTAAATAAATAAAGTAAAAAATTAATCGTGAATTTCAAATCTTTCTAATATTTCGTAGTCATTGTCTCAAATGACTCTCGTAAAAAAAAACTATCGCATCTGCAATTAAACTAATTACTATTGGAACCACTAGCCTTTGAAGAGCTGCAGTGTTTCGACTATAAAGATTATTTTTATGAGTCCAATAAACTGATTCACTCAATTCGTGATCTTCAGAAAGGTCATCGACAAAATATTCTTGTTGTTCCCCTTTCCTTTTTGCCAAATGTATTTTTATCATCAAAAAATATTTTTAACATTTTATTGTCTTCGCAGACCTGATAAAATATTATATAAACCACTCATTAAAATTTCTTGTTTACGACTTGTAAGGGAACATATAAATTTAGCCGCAATCTATAAAAAAATATAATTGGATATACAAATACGGATCTATATATCCATAAATTGCATCTATAATTATATACATATAATATTGTTTCGAAGAAAAAAAAAACTGCGATTACAAAATTATGAAATTCAATGCAATAAAGAGAAAGAGAGTTACCGAATTTTTAATGGGAAGAAACCAAAGAAGAGTATGTTTCTACCATCATTTAAAAATTCTTTTATGAAAATTATCTGAACCAGACAGAAACCAAAGGGTAATATAATCTGTTCCTTGTCAGGAAAGATCCAGTTTGTCGCACATTGACATTCGACAATGAGAACACCTACGCAACGTGTCGTGTCACAAAGATCACACAAGGTGTAAAACTTTTTCCACTCCAGTAACAATGGCAATTCAACACCAAGTTTACGAAAATATTCAAAAGAATACGATATTTTTTGTTATCGTCTAGAATAAATTTATTATTAATTTAATAAGCGTTTTAATTCAATATTCGCAATTAAATTTTAGTGATTATTGTTAAATTTGAAATAAAAAAAAAAAAAAATGACTAATTTCAGCCGGCCGCTATCGAGGATTTACGAAGATGGACATCGGCCGAAGCACTTGGGGACGTGACTGTCCCACCGGATTGCATGTCCAGGATCTTAGGAGATACAACCGATGACAGTGCAGTCGATCACAAGCTTCCTAGTCCGGAGGAACAGGTTCAGGCAATAGCACTCAAGTGAGTACTATATAGAATAGTTGACATTACCATATATGCGGGAGCCGTCGAATGCATGCAGCATCAACTGGGCACTTCAAGTTGAATATATCCTCCAACAACTACAACACTTAAAGAAAGTCAATATCTGCTGGTGCTTCAAGTTTCTTTGGACTCTAGTGCTTTGTACATTTGCAGAGTTATAAGAGAAAAAAAAAACACAACTTCTTTTTTTTCATTGTCAACTTGAAGCTCATGGATATTTGTTGGCTCTCTGAAGAGAATGAAATATTGTCATTCTATTTAAAGGGACAAAAATTGTTTCTTTGAATGAAATTCCTTTTACTTTCGATTTCACATCGATTCTATATATTCGTTACTTGATTTATTCTTTTTGCAATTCTTCTTTATCCTTTCTTTTTATATTTTCTATACTCGTTTCATGTTTTTTTAAAAATTATTGAATTAGTAAAAAAAATCGGTATAATTATTACCAATTTTAAAAAATTTGAATAAAATTATTTATATCACTCACCATTTTGTAGATTCCCAGCAGAAATAGTGGCTGTAGATGTGAGTGGCAGAGGATTCTATCGAATGTCAATGCGAAGACGATCCTTGTTATCTGGACCTGAAACACAAGAGACGGCCGTGAAAAGAAGGTCGCGTCCAAGGAGGCCTAGAGGCAAAAGACGAAACACGATCGCTGGTACCGATCAAAAAGAAATTCGTCAAGCTATTGAAGGGTAAGTACCAATTTTGGAATTTTTAAAAAAAAATTTCAATTGAATAAAAAAAAAAAAAGCTTGTCACAAAATTATTTCTGATATTGAAATGTAATATTTATGATCTATAAATCAAACCGCAATAACTAGACTTGAAAAAGCTCATGTATACCATTTAAGATTCCGCGCAGATTTACTGTTCTCGATTTTACGTTGCTACGGTAATCCAGTATATAGCAGACTCCGCGGTACGGCTTAGCATAAAGAAATCAAACAATCCGTCATGCTTGATAAAATTCTTCTGGGTTATCGAACCATGAAAAAATTTACCTAAGCTTTCAATATCAAAAATCGTATGTCGAATAAATAAAACAATCGACATTATTTTTAATATTATGATATTAATTTTATATAACAATCATTTTATCAAATTATTATTAAAGTGAAACTAAAATCGAATGTTACAGTGAGACAACGACAGATGAACCTGAAGAATCAGTTGGACCATCATCAAGAACACAACGATCTGCGAGTACCGATATTTTGGGATCATCAAAGAAAGAATCGCCAACGGAGAAGAAATCTCACTTTAATACATTAAAGGCATGGGGAATGTCAAGACTGAAGCTTATAAGTCCGAAGAGTAGTCAGAGCGTGCAACAACTCGAACAACCGGAAGCCGATGCTGGCTCATCGAGCACCGACAGGACGATCGAAGTCCAACCAATAACACCGGAAGAGACTAATATCTACGAAACCGTGACGACCAGACGAAGAAAGGACAAGTCTCATGAAAGAAAGCCAAGTTCGTCGAGTTCCAGTGGCAAAAGTACATCCAGTATTCCTGTTTCTGTGCCTTGTTCAGATAAACAGCCAAGCGTCAAGTTAAGAGAAAGTGCCGCACAAAGGAGAGAAAGAAGAAAAGGAAGCGGTCGGGACGACGCTCCTCATTCCAGTTCCGGTAACTGGAGCGCCTCCTCCGAAAGTGGAAGGGCCAGTATTGGAAGCGAAACAACTACAACGACGCACCAACCCAGGTATTTTTCTTTCTTCCAAATAATTACTAATTTTTTAAATTCTTTAACAAAAAAAATTACTAAACTCACGAAATCCTTTCAGATCGACGACAACTGCTTCCATTGGCACTTCATCAACATCATTGTGTCATATTCGAAGATTCAAGGGTAGAGATACATCGGCCTCATCCTCTGTGACTTCCGAAGGAACCCTCACACCGGACATCATTCAGGATATCACCGTTGTTCCATTCTCAGACGATGGGGAAACATCTTCAGTTTATTCATGTGACACTGAAGGATATTACACATCTTTTCACATGGACTCTGGACTAAAAACACTGAGGGAGGAAGAAGTACTTCCCCAGAGTCCTCTCGTCAGGTCCGTTGACCTTGGATCAGATCCAACATCTCCGGTTGTTGAAAATGAATACGAATTATTTGGAAGGGGATCAACATCAACGACAACAAGTTCAGCAGGAACTGTCTGTACAGCTCTCTTGGCCCCTCCACCTCCTGAACGAAAATCAAGTTTGACAGTTGTTGCAATGGTACTTACTTTTTATTCTAAATTTTTATCTTTCAATTCCTCAATGTCTTTTATTTTATTTTTATTTAAATTACAGGTTCACGGTCAAAACAAACAAGGTGGTGAATCACCAGACAGTGGTCATAACACATCATCATCGCCAGTGGAATCAGCATCGAGTCCAGCCTGCACCGGCAGATCATACTCCGAATTTGAATATTCCGAATCAAGCGATTTGGAAGGATGCGATCGAATCGAGAGGATTCGATCAAAGACAGCAATTAACACGAGTCGAATTCCATCAATGTGTGTCATCACACCACCAGGATCGGACGATGAACACGCGAAAGACCGTGACAAGAATAAACAAGAAAATAAAGAAAGTGCTGGTTCAGTGTTAATGTCGGCGACAGTCGGTACATCAAAAATGGAAGTAATTAACGGACAGGATAAGAATCTTTACGCAACTGTGCAAACAGTCCTACCATCGCCTGAAGAAAAACAACCATTACAGTCTTCGACAAAGGTCAGTCCTCTCAGTGGAGTACTTGGAAAACTTCGCGGTGTACTACAGGCAGGCAAGAAGCAACAAAAGACAACTATTCAGGAATTAATAAATCCAGACTCCGGCGACTATGTTACCATAGCCGACGTGAGAAACAATAATGACAAGCATCAGGATTCCACTCTGACGATTCGTTCACCAGTGACATACGCGAATGCTGATCTCTTCAAAAAAGACGCGGAATACGTAAGCCTCAGTGAATTGCCAAAGAAACCAGATTCATCCCTGGAGAGAAAACGACAAGGCGCTAGAGTGACATTGGATTCAGAAGGAAAGGTCGTCTACTCGTCGGACAGTTTAAGACGAAGAAAGGGAGCACACACTACTTTTAATCCAGGTAATGATTACAATTCCTCATTAGGAAAATACAATTTATCACAAAAACAGAAATAATTTACCATTTTATTTACAGGTCCATTTGTGAAAGAAGGAGCTTCGCCTAGTCCATCACCTTTACTTCATCGTGCTCAAATAAACGTAAGAGCTGTCACAAAAACAATGGATTTCATTGATGGTAATACAAAATCATCATCACCACCAACATCGCCACAATTGGGAAAAATGATCATACGAGCAGCAAAAAGTCCAGAGAGAGCAACGAGTCCCGATTATGTGCGAACACCAACAACAGTCGTCAGTCCCACCTGTCTCAGCAGTCCCTATAAACAAGTTCGCGGCGCTTACGTCAACGTTCAAGGTGACGAAGGTAAGACGCCATCTGAACCGAGCACTCAACATAACGATTGCACTAGCACCGGTAGATTAGAGTGCACTCAATCATCCGTCAATCATCTTCGATCTTCGACTGGTGTGAATAAAACCCAAAGTCAGTTGCTTTCCGGCAAACGTTCCATTAATCCAAAAATTCGTTCTCTAACAACTTCTAGAATTTACGGTCGACCTTTAAGGGGCAATAAACCAAGAATATCTCCCATAAATTCCCAAAATCAATTAGCAAAAATAAAAGATGAAAACTATCCACCCGAAATGATTGAAAATCAATCTGAAACAAAGTGCAATGTTAGTTTAAATGAATCAAATAATGTTTCATCACTAATCATCGACACTCCCCTCTCGCGAAATCAACGTAAAGTTCTCAATCCCAATTCTAGACTCAATTACGAAAAATCACTTGGTTTTCATCATTTAAAACCCAGTGGAACCACACCCAAATTATGTAGAAAGCTTTTAGAATCAGATTTAGACACACCTAATTTTTATAGAAAAGTCATGAGATCCGATAATGGTCTCGATAAAGAAAATGGAGTTAGTTTCCAAAATGGTATAACTCAGATCGATGAAAATGCTGGTACATCAAATTTTAAATTAAACGAATCTCAAAATGGGGAAAATTTAAATTCCCTAACATCCGAATCAAATTCACAAACACCAGAACCAAATTCCCTAAATTCAGAATCATTCGATTCAAATTCAAAATCCAACAAATCGGAACGTAAAATAAAACGAAGCGAAAGTTATCGAATGGCAAATAGTCCTATAATGTTTATCAAAAAATTCGCCAATCATTCAGAAAAATCTCCAAAAATTATACGAACTCCCTCAGAGGAAATACAGGAGGAATTGCTCAAGGAAAGAATAAATTATCCAGACTCGATATCAAGTCCAGAACCACAAATTGATAATGATTTTGAGGTGAATTTAGTTACCTGTCCTTTTCCCACAATTCCAACAAGTCCAAGACCAAGAGCTTTGGATCTTGAGCCTGTTAAGGTACTTCAGTATTCAGGAAATGACACCGAAATTTGGTAGTTTTTTAAAATTATAAAAGTATATATATATATATGTTTTTTGTTATCTTTAGAAAAATACCGGTGACAATAATTAGTGCCAAACAGGAATTTGTCCACCAAACAAAATCCAATTAGATAAAATTAATTTATTCAAAAAACGAACATGTTGATAAGAATTACATGGTCAAGATAAAAAAAATTTCTTTTAATAACGTTACTTTAATGTAAATTAAATATTGATATTCGTCACGTTTTTGTTTATCAATTGCTCTGCCATTTGCATCTGCGACTAAAACTTCCTATTTAATTGTTAAAACGATAATAGAGATAATTTTTAAGTGAAATTGTTTTTATGATAAATAAAAAGAACAATCCCTGGGGGAGATTAATTTTCAGCAAGGTTACTCGAAAAGATCTTTTCACTCGTCTCTAATCTGCCTTTATACAGACGTTCATCGTCTTTTATTCTGTCTAATCTTCATGGTTCACGTGCCTATATATATCACTATTTGTTGATAACACTATTATGCATTATTCTATTCTTTTTAGAGAAGCTCAAGGCAATCTCTCAAACTAATTTTACTTCCGTCAATTATGTCCTTCATGTTATAAAAAATTTTCCAACTTTGTTCAATAACAATTGAATTTAATATTTTTTATATCTGAAAAATTATTTTATCACAATTAAATTAGCTTTTGGAAATTATTTGTCCCCTAAAAATAGCAAAACAAAAAATTCATCAGTTGAGAGAAAGAGTTATCAAACTTGTATTGATGGGAATGAAATTTTTTATTTAGGTAAACTCGTTATTCAGATAAAACTGTAGTTTTCCAAACACGTTTTTGCGATTTGCAACTGAGGTTGACGACCGCAGAAGGATTTAATAAAGAAATTTATTAGCACGTGCACTCCTTCTCCTTCATCTTCTTTGCTTATCAAGAGCAGGAAGAAACTGTGGATTCAGCAGAAAAGAGAAAAAGAAGGGAAAAAAAATTCGAAAAAAAGTTGTAATGAGTTAGATGTAGGAATGTTCAGGGGGTGCCCGGAGAAAATGTGCATCAGCCCTTATCTTAGCTGCTGTTTCAATGAGCTACAGAATTGCGTCAGATTTTCGATGTTTATCCCGAACGATGAAACCGCAGATGCAGATAAATAAATAAATTTCCCTACCGCTCCTTTCCCTCTACTAACGTGGGGGGTTCAAATACTTCCACTTGCCACTGATAGTATTCAGTCAACGGTCCGGTCGTTCGACCGGACAGAACTTTCGTTTTTTCCATTTTTACAAGACTCGAAAATTAATTTACACGACAAATTTCCATTAGCTTTAAAATGATATTTTTAAATCAAATATAAAAATCATTTCCTTTAGTTAGAAAATAAGATTATTTATTTTGAATTGTAGTGAAGGGATGATTAGCATAATTTTTGGGAGATAAAAAGAAAAAGTGCGCACTTTTAATTCTATACTTCTTGTTTCTGATACACTTTTATCAGTCAACATAAAGTAAATCTTGTTGGTAGACAAGCGGTCGCCAAAGACGCGGAAAACGAAACCACTTTTTCACAGACTGTCACCATTTAAAAACATTTTTAAAAGCAAACATGCTGGCAAGACATCTTCTGTTTCTAGCAACCCGAAGACCTCGTAAGTTTTAAACAATAATCACTAAAAGTTAAAAAATTTTAAATGATATTTCAAAAATTTTTAACTAAAAATATTTTTAGAAAATATATTTTTAAAACTTTGCTTCTAATAAAAAGGATTTTTTTTCTTTTAGTAAATTGATCTCAATAAAATTGTCAGTGCAATATTCAAAAACTTATTTCAATTTAGAAAAACTATTTTTAGAGTCTATTTGGTGGTAACGTTTCTTGACAAAAAATTTTCATTACAGATTATCCCAAGTAATATATACACGCAAAAAAATAAATATTTGATACAATGCAATCTGACCAGAAAGAAAAATATTTTCATTTTACTTTTTAGTGAAATTATCAACTTCAACGGTGAAATAATCGCGAATTACGAAACAAGTATTTCGAGAATGTTGGAAAAAAAAGTGGGAACCATTTAAAAATAAATGCAGAATCTTGCGGTATACATTTTTTTTTGCATCCTACTCTTTCAAGTTTCTCCGTGGTAATTTTCCTATTATAAAGATATGACCCCAAGTAATGCTTTAACCTTCCAACTTTATCATCTGAATTTATAAGACTTAATCCGAAAGTTTCAATCAGATGTTACTGAATTATTTGCGTAACATTTAAAATTCAAATTTCAAAAAGTGGATAAATATTTGAATCTAATTTTATTCATATCTAAATTTAATCTAATTATATTTATATCAAAATCGAATTTAAATATCTGAATATTAAATATTGATTATTTACTAAATCTTAAAATAAATTTTTTTTTTGATAAAAATAAATTATATTAAAAATATAATTACCATTTTTGTCTATGACTAATGTGTTATATAACAAGCTTGATCTTTAAAGAGTAATAATGTATTCTTTATCTTATTGCATACCTCATCATTTTCTCAACAGATGCCAAATCCGTGCTAAATAACAAATGTAAAAAAGCTAGATAACCCCAATGAGATCACAAGCTATAGACAACTTTCTTGTTTGCACTATCGCACAAAATGAGTCAACGAAAAATTTATATCTTATATTCCCTCGTAATATTACTATCTATTTCCCCTTTTTCCAACACTTTCTTAAATACCTGTCATTAAATATGTATATCAAGATTACAAAAAAAATAAAAACAAAAAAAAATCTAAAAATTTAAAATAATTTCTAAAATTTAAGAAAATAGTCTAAAAAATTTATGAATCAAGAAAGAAAAAAAACTTTCAAAAATCGCAAATTAGAAAAAAAAATACAATATTTAAAAAAACATTTATAATATTTATAAAAATAATTTTGCAAAATCTAATGCAAAAAAATTTTTTAAATTATTTTTATAAAATTACAAAATAAAAAAAAAACAATTACAAAATTTTTTTAAAATATCAAATATTTACAAAATGTGTAAATAATTTTTCAAAATCATGATCGAAATAAAAGAAAACTATTTTTTTTTTGAAAAAAATCTGTAAATTGAGAGGAAAATTTTAGTCGTCAAGAAACGTTCTACGTATAGAGAAAATATCTATATATACAATGTATAGCGATATCATTTGAAATATTGGATCTGCATTAACACTTATATAGTGATACAAAAGGAGGAGGGGCGAAGGGGGGGGAGTATAATTATTGATTATAATTTTATAAGACCATCCCTCGTGCGTATGTACTTATAATCTCAATACACTTCTACGAGTAGATAATTATTCGAATAAAACAAATTAAATCTAGGACGCACAGTCTATATCCGATGGAATAATTCCATCTCATAAATTCTAGAATGCTGTCAATGTTAATATCAAACAATTTCATTTGACAACTTGAAATAATCAGTTATACCAGTCATAGAAAATCATACGATTGAAAATAATAAAAATTCCACTAAAGTTTCTAACTTACAAATTTTTTAAATAACAAAAAAAAATTTTTTTAAATCTTTTTTCATAAACATATTTTTTTTAATATTTGTCCGAAAGCAACGACTAAAGTATTTCATACACAAAAAAAAATTTTAATTTTGTTAACTACATTTAAAATTAAAATTTGAAAAAAAAATCTTGACTCGTGCCATGACGATGTATATAATAATTAGTGAAATTAAATATGACAATTATCTATAAAATAAGAAAAAAAAAATACTAAACTGCGCATAAGTTTAAAATATGACAGAGGCTTTCTTTCAAGATTATTAATCGAGATTATAAATAATCAGGATTAAAAAATCATTTCATTGACATTTCATATTTACTATACATATATAGTATAAATCGTGCCTCGTTGACACAGTGACTAACGAGTTTCCACCTCTTTCAAAAAAAAAAAAAATTACATCTTTTAATGTCTTGTTTGTGAAACTTGGTGCATGAATTTAAGCATTGTTTTTGATTTTCCCAGTGGTTGGTTGTGAATAATATATATAATTTTTTAAAAATTGAAACACAACATTAGAAAATTTTATAATTTGTTAAAAAAAAAAGAAAAGAAAAAGAAATAAATAATTCACCGTGTAAACGTGGCATTTTCACGCATGTTTAGTTGGTAAAGCGTGCACACCTCGCGTTGTAAGTAGCGTCGACCAGTGACTAACAATAATAACTAACTATATTTTAGATTTTTTTTTTTTAATGGGCTACTAAGTATTATATAAAAACCACAAAAGTATTTGTTTTAATACGCCTTTCTAGTTTCATGTCGTTTTATCCAGCACTATCCGTCCAAACAAAAGTGTACTTAGATAAATCTTTTTTTCAATAAGAAACTATTATAATAAGAATAAAAAAAATTCAAAAATCTATAAAAAAAAATAAATAAAATAAAACAGAAGTTATATTAGAATATTATACAAACTATATCAAAATAAATTATATTACAATTAGAAATAATTTACAAAAATTATCATAATTATAAAAAATAATGAAGTAAATTCTCTTTTTTATATTTATTTCTAATTGCAAATACACTAGAAACTATAAAAAAAAAGAAAAATTTTTTTATTCTATATAGTTTAAATTGATGAATAGGAAAGTACACCTCTGCTATGATAATCGACATAAACTGCTGTATTAATTGCTTGAACTAATGATAATGGTGATATAATTAAAAACACGGACGTACTTGCAACCTGGGGAGGGCATGCTAAATGCAATAATTGTGTATATTGTGAATACGTTACTTAATTTTATTTAAGCATTTTTTTTTTTGTTTCTTCTGTTTGTTTTTTGTATGCGTATATGAATTTATATATAAATATGTACATGTATGTATTTTACTAATGCGTTTTTCTTTTTATTTTTATCTGTATATAAATGCAAAATCGTTATTATATATCTTTATAGACTTCTTACGATGACGATAATTATTATTATCATATTAATGATACAATAGTATCCTTGTCTGTATGAGAATAGACATATTTTTTCAAAATGGACATTATGTTTGCATTTGGTCGTTTTTATTTCACCCGAACATTCTTTTTTTAAAAGTACCTTTTAAAGAATTTTTTTTTTTTTTTAATTTCACTCTTTATTTATGTATATCCCTCGGTTGTAAATACTCGTGTTTGTTAATGGTGTAATTCTTTTACATTATATGTATGTATATGTTAATCCCTATTTCCCATTTCCTATTGCACCTGGCTGTTTGATTTGTTTTGTGTTTATACTTTTATATGCAAATCCATAGTTTTTAGATAAAATATCAATACATGCACCATAAACAGTGTGGTATTTTCATAGTAATTCATCTTCCATTGTTCCATGTTCATTGCTTGGTGAGTATATTTTTTTTTATCATCCCCAATTTAATTCTTTCGACCTCAGATTTTTTATTTAAAAAGTTTTTAAATTATTCTTACAATAGTTGTGATATCAAAATAAACAAAAACATTTTATTCATCGACTTAAAAATGTTTTTGAAAAACTATTTTTTAACATGGAAACAAAATTTAGTATTGGAAATTGAAAAAATTACTCTGACAACAGCAGGGTCGAAAGGGTTAAAAAGAACACTTCAAAAATATTCAAACATTTTCATGAAATGTATTATGAGTTTTTTGATTCAATATTTAATAATTTAATAAAATTCATTGATAATTAAAAACTATTATTTACTATCGTTGTTAATTATATAAAATTTTTAGACTGTTTTCAATGAATAAAAACTTGTATTTTTTTATAAGCTTTAATTTAATGCAACTCTTTAATTGTTATCTTTTTAGTTTTGAAATTTTATCTTCCATTAATCGTGAATGTTAAATTCTTTTACATTAAAAATATTTATTCTTGTTAATGATTTCGATATACAAAAAAAAATTTAAATAAACAAACTTCTCTCTTTATGTAGCTAAAAATATTCATTACTGATAATAATAAAAATAAAACTTTTTTTATGTAACAATCAAAGTAGGTGATAATTTATCGAAATTGACCATATTTTCCTGATTTTTGTTTACACTAACACGCACACGCATTTATTCATTAACACATTTTGCACTGTTTGACGTTTTGCAAAATGCCTGCTTTTTTTAATATTCGCTTGCTTCTGTGACTGCTTATACGCTTTATATAAATCAATATCTGTCTTTAAATTCAACTTCAACTAAATAACAAAACAGTAAAATTATTATTATTTTTTTTAAATACATTTGAAAATTTTTTGTAGCTAAAAAATTTAACTAAAAAACAACAAAAGAGAACAAAATAAATCAAGGAAGAATATTTGTTTCAGAAAATCCTTTGCTTTCAATTACCGGGGAAACAATTCCAGGACAAGTGATAATTCCACAACCGCCACCGTACATTGGTCCACCGAGACCACATGACCTAAGAAAAACTCAAAGTTACGAAGATTTTGGAAATGATTCTAAATCTCAAGCAATGTTCTACCCTAGGCAATGTGATATGTATGACAACCGATCAAATTATTATCAACAACAACAACCATCACAAATGGTGTATCATCAACAAACTTATATCGACGATCCAAGAAATTATCAAATCTATGAGAAAAATCCACAATATTTAGATCATCAATCTCATGTATTTTCAAATTACAATGAAAATCAAAATCAAAGAATGTACATTCAACAAGTTGTTGATGCTCAAAATTCAAGAAATCAACAATTTTTCACACTTCCAAATAGAAAATCACAAAAAGAAATTGAACCTCCTCGTAGTGTAACACCTGATATTACTCGAGGTTTGAGTCGAGGTCCCGTCAGTTCTATGCATATGCTAGCTAGACAGAGTCAGAAACCAACACCGGAACAAATAGGATATCATAGACAACCGGAATCTGACACCTACATGGACCTAAGGAGGAGGCACATGGAATTAGAAGCTAGAAGCAAACTCTTTCAACAACAGCAACAACATCGCAATCCACCCGTGGACGTCAGAAACAGGTAAAAATTTTAAAAAACTAATTAAATATTCTTTCTAATATAACTAAATATTTTTTTACCGTTTTTATCGTTTAAATCAAAATTTCAGAATCCTAATTATTATACAACAAGAAAAAAGCTTCTAACTTTAAAAAACAAATTCCATATTTATAATATTAAAATGGTCATTAAATTCACCGTCGAGTGAATTTTGGTCCACTTTTAATTTAATAAACTTTTAAATTATCCCATTTTAATACCTTTGACTGAATATTCTATGGAAATATTTGTACTGAAAGTTAAGTGGGCATTTTCAAGCAATTAATTCAAGTGTCCTAGAACTTTTTGATCCCAGAGTATATCAATGAAAATTAATTGAATTTATTCATAATTAGATAAAAAGTAATTATTAACAATTAAATAAAAAATTAATTAGAATTTTTTTTCGTTTATAGATTCGCGCCAGCTCAAGGTTTAGCTTTTGGATATCGATCATTCGCAACATCACCCGTACAACAATTGGAGAAAAAATATCCCTCTGTTGAAAATTTAAAACGCACTCCACTTTCACCTATTGGTCCAGAAAATAGTAATGGATTTCAATCATCAACACCAACTGGAAGATCAACACCAACTGTTGCTGAACGTTTGGCTTTAACGACAAAAAGTCCTTCAGCAAGAATTATTAATACATCAGGTAAAAGTACACCAATTCTGGGTTCTTCTTCAGGAAGAAATACTCCCACGAATATTGTTCTTTCACCAACAAGAAGCACCATGTCAAACGAGGAATTATTCACCGCCATTCACAAATCAAAAAAGAGATTAAATATTAAAGACGATAGTGATAATTTATCTCCTACAGGATCTATGCATTCACTTTTTACAAATAACGCTGGCACAAGGCACAGCTGGAGTCCTGAGTCTCAAAAAACACCGGAAGTGAGTAAAAAAAAATTTCTTAGTTATTTAATTTCAAAAAATAAAACCACTATTTTCCCTCAATGATCGTATTTTCATCTAAACGAAACAATATTTTAATCAAATTATTATTTAATCGAAATACTATTTAAATTTCTATTTAATTGAATTTTAATTTCACTAAATATTTAAATCGGAAAATTTCTATTTCAATTATATTTTTAATTAATTTGAATAATTAACTAAAATTGTTCATACTGTTATAAAAAAGAGAAATATTCCCTTCAATTTCATTTTTTTTAAATTCATCAAATTATTAAACTTAAAAACTAAAGCAAATCTCGTGCACTAATTCTAAATACTAAAAATAAATAATAATTATTAACTTACCTTGAAATTCTCTTTCCAGATACCAGCAACCATTCAAACGCCATCAGCAACATCCCGTCTCGATTTCAAACGATTGCTCCTTCAGCAAAGTATAAAAAGTGGACCAATGAGACTTTCAGCAGCCGAACAATTGAAACTTTCTCGTCAACAGTGTCAATTACAGCAGCAGCAGCAATCACCACAAAATCTTCCACCATCGCCTCTCTCAAAAGTTCTCAGTCCTCGATCGGCATGGAGGTTCCAAACACCAAGAACCGACGTTCTTTCGTCGACAATAATTGAAGACACCGCAGCCGAAGAGAAGGCAATGAAACCATCTCCAGAGAATACAATCCAGCCTTCTGTAAAATCCAAAAGACAATTAGATTTATATAGTAGTGTACAAACGGAAAGAAAAGAATCTCATAATAATGATAATAATAGAATATCAACAAAATTATTAAAAGAAATCAATAATACTAATGATATGACAAAAATACAACATACAAACGATGTGAAACATAATATTAATATTAATAATAATAATAAAAAAACGCAACTGCCTCAATTAACGACAAACTTAACCGGAATCACGTATCAAAGGGTGCCTCCTTTATATTCACAAATTGAAACAAAAATCAAGGAACAAGAGACAATGAATACATATTTAAAGTCTTCTTCAGTACAAAGTAGCGCGCAAGATTCAATCAGCGCATTTGAGAATCGTAGACTGAATAACCAGTTGGCGAAAGCACAATTTTTGGCCAGTGGCCCTCACAATAGCCAAAATCAAAATTTCCTTTTTGAAAAACGATTTCGAGCGCGATCTGAATCACCTCAACATGCAAAAATGCAAAATGTTACTCGTAGTCCAAGTGCTCCAACCCTAGAGACTGCTCTTTAAAAAAAAAAAAAAAATCACGCCCAATCTTTTCAAATCAATACGGCCCAAATTGTAAGATTTTATAATAATTAATACGTAATTATTAGAAACAAAAAAAAATCGCAAATAAGTTGTAAATTAGAAAAGAAAAATACGACGGTTCTGATATAATTTTGTCTTCAGTGATTACTGATACGAATGAACTGATTAGAAAATGGCTCTTGATTATCTTTCTTTGTACAAAAATGACTGAAAGTAAAGTATTTTTTAATATTAGAGTCAACAAAAAAAAAAATATATATATATATATATATAAATATATACCTCACGGAAGACATTTTCGCGTTATTATTTATTCTAAATTATTTAACTAAATCAGAACATTTATATATGTAAAATATTTGAGAAATTATAAATTGTAATTTCTCTTATTCTACAATTTATAGTCTTGAAATAAAAATTTCAAGTTTTCTTCTGTACAAAAATTGGCAATTCGCATCGTTGCGTCTCTAATTTATTATTTTCAAATACACTGAAAAAAAACCTCGTATTTTGATACGTCAAATAAATATTATGTATATAGAGAAAAATTATTTCTATTTTAATGATAGCTGGCTTAAAGTCCTGATTGCTTGCTAGTCTAGTCTGGGATGTATATTCGATAAAAGGCGATTGAAACAGTAGAATTGAACTTCAATCACAGCACGTTTTTCATTAAAAAAAAAAAAAAAAATTTATAAACTTTTTCTTAAATTTTTATACACGTCACAATACTGGAAAATATTTTTTACAGTAAACACGTGCCAAAATTGTAGTTCAAATTTTTCTAAATGAACAGGAATATAATTTGAAAAAGTCAAGTGTGCTTTGAATACATTTTTACTGTATATGTAAACAATATAAACCCGAGTGTGTAGAGAGAAAAAGAGAGAGAGAGAGAGAGAGAGTGAAAGAGAGAAAAAGAACTTATATTTTAAATAAAATGCCTATGAAGTTCTTCTACATAGGCAATAAATAGTAATATATTTAAAAGACAAGTTTAGCATTTAAAAATAAAAGAGTTGCCTTAATTAAATTGTTGAATTCTGAAATAGTCGGCAAATGTAATCTCACGAATTTACAATCGCTGAAAACGTTTATAAGTATCGTAAAAATTGAATTATAATTTTTAGCACTTAAGCCGAAAAAGTGTTTTGTACTTTGCTCAGAATAAAAAAAAAAGATTCTATAGACCGAATTATTTGATTTTTTTCAATTCCTTATCAAAAATCAATATATAAAAACTTGTAAAATAGTTTACCTGATGAATAATTTCTCATTCCCGCTCAAGAACCTCAAATTTTTCTAAAATATCAATAAGTCATCATTATTGATATAAAATATCAAAGAAAAAAGCACTGGATTTATGAAATTTGTTAAAACAAAAATTTTTTTTTTACCATAATCAAAAACATTAATTATATCATCCCTAAATTTCGTCAATCAAACAATAGACGCACTTGCAATTATAGGTTAGGAAACACAAATATATATTTATCACGAATTAAAAGTAATGTACCTGATTAAAAGTAAACTTTTGAATAAAAAGAATCACAATTTTTATGAAACATTAGTACAAAAAAAAGAGGAAAAAAAATAAATAAAGATCACAAAAACATATGAAGTTTGAATAGCAACAGAAATCGACTAACGACACTTCAATTTCGCATTTTAATTGATAAAACTTTAAATTGTTTACTGATATTTCAATATAACTATTATTAAGTTTACTCACTGAATTAAATTCACTTTGCTGAAAAAATTTCTTGACAAGTTTAACAAGTTTGAATCAATTTTCTTTCCTTGTCGCAAACGGAAACTGCGAAAACTAGTGGCGAACCTAGCGACTGTCCTACCTAACCTCAAAATTCGAGTAATATTTCCATGTGACGAGTTTACTTCAAATATTTTTACCCAATCTTGTAAAGTAAATCAAAAATTAATTTATCTTTTAAATTACCAGTTTAATATTACACATTTAATAACTTTTAATTTGATTAAATGAATAAATAAAAGTAAAATTTATAAAAAAAATTACTTACCGACTGTAGCTGGCGCATGTTGTTTCCGTTCTTGTAAAAATGTTACCATCTTTAGATAACATTCTATGAAGTCCTCCTCTCTCCAAAGTTGATCCACTAATCGGGAAAAAAGATGGCTGACCCACAAAACATTGGAAGTTTATTGCACATGAGAAAATCTGTGCTAATATCGTAACAAATCAGCAACGTTCTGTTTAGTGTACATTTCACATTGTGTTTCTATTCTCGTGATCATTTAATGATCAAATTTTAGGATAATTGTGCTTCGAAGGTGTCAAAAATTTATTGAAACTCGATGTGTTGATACTTGCATTCCTGAGGAAAATAATAGCCTCGTAGTGAATGTGATTACGAAGGCAGAGGACTACGACCTTCGTATCGAGTGCACATACGGATTTCCAAAGTGCGTCACACGAAACTGAAAATAAAGAAGAAAAACGAAAACTTTTTTGTGGACATAAAAAAAAACATCAATTAATTGAAAAATCGTTAAGACAAAATGACTATTCTTTCTAAGAAGAAACCTAGTGGGACAAAGGACAGACGTGAAGGAGGTAATGGGTCTGAGGTCGATGTTCATGGAGTACAAAACGAACATGGATCAGGCTCAATTACTTTACCTAATAGTCCTTATCAGGTAAAAAGAATATCATTGTTTTTCATCACAAACACACGTGTCATTTGTGATATTTAGTAAATATTTCTTTCAAAAAAAAAATTTTTATTTATAATTAGAGAAATGATTAAATATGTCTTGAATATATTATCAGACATGTAAAAAAATTCTGATAACAGCAAAAAAAAATTATAACATTTTATATTTTATTTGATTTATAATAATCTTTAGCTTCAAAAAATTCCTATTTTTTCAACCTTTTCTTAATTTTTTTTTAATCAGGTTCGTGGGGGTAGTGGATTTGGAGTTGATCTTCACTCGGTGCAGGGTGAACATGGATCTGGTCCAATAGTTCTCACCAACACTTCTTATGAGGTGAGAAAAAAAAGAATTTTTTTTTTTATTAAATACAATTTGGACACCACAGTGTTTGTAAATAAAATTTGAAGAATCAAAATTTTGTTTACTATCATTTCAATCATTCTCACTGATTAAGAATTTTTTTTTTTTTTTATTGTAGTTTCTGAATTTGTGGATATATTTTGTTTTGATCGAATTTTGTACTTAATTTAAATTAACGATTAAATTTAATGTATAGAAAAAAATGTTTTTCTACTTCAAAATAATCTGATTATTTGAAATAATAAATATTATTTTTTGATGGTAATTATGAAAATGGGAAGTTTTTAATCCCTGCACTGGGTAAGGGCGACAAATGTATGTTAAACATTATTTTCTATAAATAACTGTTGTTTCAACATTCCTTAAAATCTTGATTGCAATATGTGCTATTCATATTCTTAAAACACAGCATTCCAAAAAATTTGTTTAAAGCAATTTTTCTCAATGGATATTTTAATTTAAAAAAATTAATATTTATGAAAATAATTATAGAGTACTGATCGTCGAGAAGAAAAACACTTTGAGGATGGCGGGGGTCCCAGTCATGGTAAACGTCATCGTCAACGAGCAAGTCCACATAGGTATAAATATTTCAATTTTATGAAAGTTTATTAACGATTATTTAATTATTAAAATTTTGTTTCTTAAATGTAATGTAGTAAAGTTTTTTCATATTTTCATTGTTTAAAAACAATAATTAGAAATTGTAAAGTTTTCTTTTTTATTTACAGCTCTTGCATTAGCCGAAGTTCGCGAAATAAACGTGAAAGAGAAAGGGACAGAGGACGTGAAAGAGAAAGGGAGAGAGAACGAGAGAGACAAGCAACGCCTCCCACAGCTTCTGGTAGTGGTTTGCAGGGTAATTAGATTAATTTCAATAGAATAAAAATATAAAGATTGTATTCGTTTAAATATTCAAAATTTAAAATTCTAGTGATCAACAAATAATAATTACACATGATAATCCGATTGTTCAAAGAATGTATTTGAATTTACAGTCTAAAATTATTTTTAATTTTTCAAAAAATGATTTTTTAACTAATACTGATCGTTAATTATTTAAATTCAATATTAAAATCTAATTGTAATTTATTCATCAACAAGCAGGTAGCAATAGTCGGATGGAAGAGAATCATGAGAATGAACTTTCAAATGGTTACAATAGCGGCGATGAATATACAGGTCGCACAAATCTTACAGCCGATGAATGGCAAGAGGTAAAAAAATAAATAAATCTTTTTATGAAAATGAAAAATTAATTTTTCCACGATTGAATTATTTGAATAAATATTTTTTTGTTTTCTATAGCGTGATCGATGGTTCGAGAAACGAATGCGAAAAGTAGGATTTATTGTTAAAAAAATGGGTGAGGATGGTGCTTGTTTATTCAGAGCTGTGTCCGATCAAGTTTATGGAGATCAAGAAATGCATGGTGTTGTTAGAAAACATTGCATGGATTATATCGTAAGCGTCTATTATTATTGCAATATTGTAGAAATTCCACAAAATCTCTAATTAATATGATTTTCACGTTTTTTCTTTGCTTTCAGGCAGCAAATCAAGAATTCTTTTCTCACTTTGTAGCCGAAGATTTCACCACATATGTAGATAGAAAACGACAAGAATACGTGCATGGAAATCACATAGAAATGCAAGCCATGTCCGAAATGTATAATAGATCTGTGGAGCTTTTTTGTTATAGTACAGGTATTTTGTTATGTCAATTTTAATTAGATATGAATTTTTGAAGAAAAAGTTTTTTTTTAAATATACATTTTTTGAATTTTTATCAGAACCTATCAACATTTTTCATGGAGTGCATAAAACGGACAATGAGCCAATACGATTGTCATATCATCGAGTTAGTCACTACAATAGTATTGTTGATCCATATAAAGCAACAGTTGGTGTTGGTCTTGGTTTACCATCTTATAATCCTGGATCTGCTGATCGTGCTTTAGTATCAGATGCCGTCCGTCAAAGTGAGGACTTACATATCGAACAGGTATAATGTTTTTCATTTGAAAAATTATTTGGAATATGAATCGAAAACAAAAAACAGACGCTTAAGGAATTTTTTTTCTATTTTACAGACTATGCTAGAGGATAAAATCAAAGCAACTGATTGGGAAGCTACAAATGAGGCAATTGAAGAACAAGTGGCCAGGGAAAGTTACTTGCAATGGTTACGCGATAACGAAATGAGAAAAGCAGTAAGTATATTGAGAATTTAATTTATTGAGAAAACAAAAAGGAAAAGAGAATGTTTTTTTTTACATGTACTTGTGCTATTTTTTTTAAGCGATCAGCTAGTAGTAGTAGCTCTAGTACGCTTACGGGTACTCAACATAGCCATGCTCTCTTTCATTCGCATGGCAGTCGCGCTCAACAACGAAGTCATACTTCTTCTCCAACAGGAACTGCACCAACTGCAGATTCTCTACGAAATTCCCCAAAGGTCTGTACAAAACAGACTCTCGTTTCCTATAAGCTTCAGGAAATTCGGTTTTTTTTTTTTTTTCAAAAAAAATTCTTTTATTTTTTTGGCTGTACGATTTTGACTTTTTTTTTTAATTACGGTTTATTTTTTGTTTATCGATTAGAAGCTTCTTTCTCATTTTACTTTTGTCTCTATTGAACAATTGTTTCTAGTGATTCATTATTTTTGTTTGAATTTTTTTTTATAGGTTTCTGATTCTGTACGTTATACCAAAAGATCTCCACAACATCAATCACCTCCAAATGCAAGTAAACCTCTTCTTCCAACTGAATTCGAGGTGAATTCCGCGCCTCAAGAACCTGTGCCTGGCAGCAGCAAAGAGTCGCAAGCTTCACCCGATATTTCTGTTTTTAATCGACTGCCTCCAGAAGTTTTCGGTTAGTATTTAATTAGGAAAAAGCTTTTTTAAAGAAACCTTTAAAAGTCAAAAAATTTTGTCTATTGTAAGAACTATTTTTAATTTGAATTGCAAAATTTTTGATGTTTTGAAATTTTTTTCTAAAGGTCTGACCGACTGGGAAGATAGTGATATTATATCACAGGTGTTGGCTACTTCTCAAGAGGAATATCTAGACAGCTTAAAGCAATCTCGCCTAACTAGTAGTGCTAGTTCTGAATCCAGTGAAAAATTAGATTCTAACAATAGTTAATTATCAAGAAAACAGTCATCATTTTTAAATAATTTGGAGAGATAAAAGAAAAAGATATATAAATATATGTGTATATATATGAAAAAAATATATATGTATATATTTCTATACTGCAATATCCTCTAAAGTAAAAAAAAAATGTGAAGCAGAAGGTGGTTTGCCTTTCCTCATTTAAATAAAACTTAACGAGTTAACTCAACACGTAATTTCACAGCAGTGTGCGTATATATTAGTAAAAGAAAATACGAAATATTGACCAAAATCCATATTTTCAAATTGTTTTTGTTTTTTTATATTCTTTTATTAATTATATTTTTTTTACTTTCAAAGAAACAAAAAAAGAAGAAAAAAACTTATAAAAGTAATCAAATACTTTGTTTTCTTTTTAGTTTTAATTTTTTTTCTTATTTATATTGCAAAAGCTTGTAAGGCAAATGCATAATATATTTTTTATTTTTCAATCGAATTTTGCGATTCTGATTGCTGCTTTATAATATTGTAGAGTATACAAATTATCGAAAAAATCTTTGTTTATTTTGCAAAAGAAGAGTTTTATTGACATTTAGCCAGTTGATAGCGATATCATTGTGCACTATTTATTCTATAAATTTCATTGTTCTTTTTCTATTTTGGCTCTTCATATTTAGTTTCAAATCATAGAAAATGGCTTCGAAATAAAAAAAAATTCGTTGCATTATTTGTATTAAATGATTAAATAAAAAACAAAAAAAAAATATATATATATATATTAACTTAAGCACATAACTTGAGTCTTATTATTTTATTATATCATTTTCAGCTTCCGTAAAAGTAGAATATAATCGAAAGTGAATTTTTGCAATAGTGCAATAAATATAGAAAATTAAAATAAATGTGGCAAGTGTTATACAATATGGATAGATATGCTAATTACCTAATAGGGAATATACCTAGTGATTAAAAAATCCAATTTAAATTACTTTGGAAATGTTAAATTAATTTTAAATTTGTTTTAATTACTTGAAAGATTTCAAAAAGAAAATTATATAGTTCAATAGATAACATGATTATTTGAAAATATAAATTATGCAGGAATTTTTTTTTCAGTCAAATATATTCAGAGTCGATTTCAAGTCACCGGTTACAGTGTTGCTTTAGTATAGACATATTAATAGAACCAAACCCACACTCTCAAACTCTTCCTATAGTGTCTTGAGTTTTAAACTTTCAATATACATCTACTGCAGTATTGTGCCGACAAACGACAAGTTATAAGGAGTTCTATTATATTTTCGAATTTTTTCAATACTATATATTTACCTCAAGTTTTATAAACTCAATGTTAGTACTTATGCTTATCACTGTAAATACATTTTTATGACATGCATAATCTGCAATCAGCTCATTTTTTTCTGTTGCTGCAGTTTGATTCACTAGCCACGTAAAAATTTAAAAAAAAAGAAAGAAACAAATGCATAACTGCAAAAAAATGGATTTCAAATCTATGGTAAAGTTAATAATTTTGAAAAAAATCTGTAATGCTTCTAATACATTAATTAATTTGCTAATTAAAATTATATTTTTAAGTAGAACATCCTTTAATTTTTTTGTTACTAATTTTTCTTTTTTAGTCAAGAAAAAGTTGTTTATTCCGACAAAAGTCGTATCTTTTATCGGCTCTCTTGACATTAACAATGTTATCAATTGTAATATTCTGCATTTACATTTCGAAAATAGAGTCAAACACAAAAAATTTTAATGATGATGTTCCAAATGAAGTACAACAAAATGGTAAATATTTTTTAAAATAATTTTCAAGTAATTAAAAAAATATTTTAAATTTTAATATATTAAAACATATTAAATTAATTTTAGCATTTGCTGTTTCAGTACTTAGTAAATATTACAACTTTTCAAATGGTAAGCTATATTTATAATTCTTTATCCTTGCAGTGAAATAGAATTAATAAAAATAAAATGATTAAAAATATACATATATTATTTTTATAAATTATTTTCAAATATTTATTAATGAAGAAAAATTTTCTTTTCTAGGTAAAAAGTGGTTCAATAGTGAAATTATTTCTCAGATAAGTAAAGAACTAGTCCGAGAAGTTGGAGAGAATTGGATAATTGAAAAACCTAATCACACTAATCAGAATTATTCGCTTAAATTTCCAGAGGTGAAAGATCCTTCAATGGGTCAAGCTGAAGTAATAAGAGAAATTTTCAATTATGCTGTAAGTCTATGATAATAAATAAGTAAATTACTAATTAATAATAATAATTATTATTATTATTATTATTAATAATTATCAATAAATCTAAAAATATTTTCAATATTTTACAAAATAAAAATTTAACAAAATATTGATAATTTTATTTTTAAAACTAATGAAAATCTAATGATTAATTAGATTATTATTTTTAGAAAAATGGATTTTTTATCGAATGCGGAGCTTACGATGGGGAAACTCGTAGCAATACTTTGAATCTTGAACGTTATTATGGATGGACCGGAATTTTGATAGAGGCAGATCCGATAAATTTTGCAAAGATGACTTTAAAAAATCGAAACGCGTATTTATCGCCCACTTGTCTTAGTATCACTAGTTATCCAACAATTGTAAGATGAAAGATAACTTTTATATTACTTTCAAAGTATTACCGTAAATGAATGCATTAATTAATGAAATTAATTATTAATAACATCTTTTTATTTTCAGTCATCGTTTTTAATGGCTGATAACATTGGACGACTTCACGAAATTGAAGATAATTTAGAACTTACAAATAGTCCGGATATTGCTCATAAGGGAAAACATATAAATGTTCAATGTTTTCCATTGGTTACTTATATTCTTGCACTAAATCGAACGAGCATTGATTATTTTAGTCTCGATATTGAAGGCAATGAACTTCAAGTACTTGAAACTATTCCATTTCACTTGGTAGATATTAAGGTAAGTCACTGATTAAATTAAAATTAATCAAAAATTAGTACAAATTTAAATAAATTTTTTGTAGTCTTTCCTTATAATATTTTCTTTATCAATTAGACAATTGAAGTATCTATCTGTGAAAGTTTTTATATACCTATAATATGTTTTTATATTTAATTTAAAACAGCTTTTTGTTATATTTTAAAATTAATTTTGTAAATATATTGAAACTATTATATTTTTCAGGCGCTGTCTGTGGAATACATTCACAACAAAGAAAGTAAAGAATATATGATTGATCTGATGAAGGGAAACGGTTATTACGTTTACAGTTATGTTGAACACGATAACAATCTAGCAAACGACATTATTTTCGTTAAAGAAACTTTTATGTCCTCAACAAAGATAAAATCCAATTTACTCTTGAATTTGACGTAAATTGTGAAATGTTTTTTATTTTTCATTAGTTTGAAAAAATTGTTTCCAATTTTACAAAAAAAGATCTGTGATTTCCGCTAAAATTAAAATGTATGTGACAGAATTGTAAATATTTTTGAGTTTAAAGATTATTATTTAATTTATTTTATTAATAAATTTATATTATATTGAATTAACAATCGTAATTAATAGATTTTGTAAATAAATCATGACAATAGCGTAGTTTGCAGTAAATGTTTGAAAAAAATGGTACTTTGATCATTTACAACGAAATTCGAAACTCGGTATCAATAGAATGATCTCATTTTTCAATAATGTTAACTTTGAAACAACTTTATTGCTTTATAAATAAATGAGCAATACATTCTCTTTGCCATTCATTAAAATTCATAATTTTTTCATTTTCCTTTTTTTTATATACTATAAACTATAAAATATAATTTACATTCGCTAATAAATAATGATATTTAACTATTTTCGTAATAGTAAGTATAATTACATTTAATGAATTTTAATTAATTACTTTTATTACTTTTTTATAACATCTCTTTAAACATTTTTTTTTTCTTCTTTATATTATGCCTTTTAATTATTTTATTCTATTCTGGCACATCCGGTGCACAATTTCAAATTTATCCCTAAAGTAATTACGCATTTTATAAATTGCTTTTTCATCGTCAATTACAAAAATTGCAAAACTTTTCAAATACAGTTAGCATAATATAACCGCATTCAATTCTAACTCTGAATTCTTATTTTTGGAATTTTTCAATCAACTATAAAAACAAATCTTAACAGGAAAATCTGTACAAACTCTTAAATTAGATAAAAAAAATAATAAATAAAATGAAGAAAGGAATTTGAATATTTTTAGGTACATGACACTGACTAGAGGATGAGTAAAGATTACATATTTTGATTTTGCGTTAAAAAAATTTTTTCTGCTGACTATTTTGGTTCTTTTTCAATAGATTAATATTTATATATGTTAGTCTCTTTGATGAACTGTAAAAAACTTTTTACAGTGTTTTTTTTTATAGAATACATTTTATAACTATATAAACTATGCTTTGTCTTTTAAAATAGCACCTTTTTTTGTATAAGAGGTATAAATGAAAATAATTTTATGTGAAAATTTATATGTTCCTCCTACAAATGCAAATTGTCAATCATATCACAAAATTTTAAGGCTTTTGTTGGAGAATATTATATAAATCAGTAAAAGAATAAAAATATTTTAGATATAAGAACACTGCTATAATCCATTCAATAAATAAATTATATAATATATCAGACCACACTATATTATAATTCGGATCACTGGTAATACTTTTAATTCATTCATAGAAAATTATAACGAAATCCTTTCATGGCAAATTATATTAATAAATATTTTTTTTTGTGTCATTTACAACATTTTAATTAGAAATTCATGAAAGGATTGAAAATAAAGCTCAGCATCTAATTCGATATTCATCTAGAATTTTACAACTGCTCGAAGATTATTATTATTTTTATTATTATTATACGTATACGTTTTGATATAATATTTATATAATTCGCTATTTTCCCCATTTTCACTATTATACAATTCGATTAAAAAAATAAAAACTAGACTGTTATCAATCTTGTTCCATTTCAGATAAACAGATAAATTTTGAGCTTTTTTCAATTAAGGGAATTTTCCCTATTTTTCTTTCTTTTTTTAAAGATCTAAATTGTAGAATTACTAAATATTTCTCTTATTTAATAATTATATTAATTGGCTAATTCAAAGTGTTTAAAAAATAATTATTCAATATTTACAATTTACATAAGTTTTATCGAATAAAAAAAAAATTGATTATAAAATGAAAAAAAGAAGTTAGCCATAAGAAAAATAATAATATCATAAATATGGAATATTTCCACGATAAATAGTGGAACAAAACCAACAACAGACTTTTTAGTCTCATACATAACTCTCCTGCTTTTTACCAATAATACTTCCGGTAACAGCCGATAGAAGTGGTAATTTTATTTGCTTATCAGAAGCAACATCCGGGACCTTAACACTACAACTTTTATTACTACTGTGCCTCCTCCAATAATCAGATTGATTCGTACTGCTACCAGTTGTTGAGCCTGTGGTCCCCGTACGACCGGAGCTTTCCTTTTTTCTTTTCACTTTAGTTTTGGAAATTCCACAGAGCCTAAGAAAACCCTCTCTGAATTTCGTCGACATAAGATTATAGAGAATTGGATTAATCGCTGAATTAAGATAAAGCATCACTCGACAGAAATAGATAAGACAATAATAATCATCGAAATCAAGGGTGACTATAATTTCAGGTGGAGTTACAATAATCCAAAATGTCAATGCCCTAAATGGAAGTAGACAAATGAAAAAACAAAGAACCACTGTGCCCAACATTAGGATCACTTGTCTTCGATATTTAAGTAGATTATTGGCTGGTCCCCGACTTATTGCCGGATTTTCCATTAGATGACGTGCTATCACTGTATAAAGGACAAGTAGGATTAGGAAAGGAATGATAAAGAAGACAATTATTATTATCAGGAAGAAGATTTGGTTCACTGTTGAATCAGCTGGGGTTGAACATGTTTCAAAAAAACTCCCATTGTGGTCCTTTTCCAATCTGTATTGCGTTATCCACAGGATCGGACTGCAAACAAAATTTCCCAAATTCGATTCTTATATAAGAGGACGAATTTTCGATTTCGATTATAAGACAAAAATGACTGATTCACAATATCAATCATTATATAAGACGCATTTAGAATTAATTTGTTTCAATGAATTCTTACAATTAGACCAAATAATATTTTTTTTTTGCATTTTTTTGAAATTCCATGAATAAAAAATTATTTGTACAAAGAATAAATCAGTCAAATCAGTCCAAAATCAATTTCAATTGACAGGGAAATTATTAATAAAATGTATTTCCATCATGCAATTTTTTTTGTATTATATACAATTTTGTGCAAGAGGAAACTAATGTGCGTGATTAACTTTGATCTTTGCATATCGACAAGCTTCTGTATTATTAGTGCATGCCTGCAACATGTTTTAGAATTACGTGGTTCCACAGAAATAATGAATGTTTAATATGTTAATTAGATTTATGTGTGTAGCTGTTATATATATATTATGTTTACGATACAATAAATTAAATATTGGTAACATTGTTTTACATAACACTGATGAGAACATTAAACTTTTTTTTTGAGAAACATGCATTAATTTTGTCATGGGAATAAAAATTTTACAAAAAAAAAAAAAAAAAATAGCAAAACGCTGATTTTTTTTTATAATCAATTTTATACTTCGGTCAATTTGAAGTTTCTTAATTTTGTAAAAAATATTAACTATAAAAAAATATATAAGCATAAAAAAACATAAAATTATTTAAAAAATTTGAAAATCAATAAAATTCATTTTTTTTAGATTTTAATACTTACATTAAATTTATTAACGTGAACACTTATATAATTTTTTTTTCTATTTGGTCTGTTCTATTTTTTCAAAATGAACCTATTACTATACAACTAACATATATAATTTATACGGAATTCGACTTATTATTTTATAATTCACTATTTTATAATTTACTATTTTATCATTTACATAATGCCTATTAATGAGACAATTGTTATTATCGTAATTTTAGAAATAGTTAAATGTTATTAAATTTTTGAAATAGACGAAATTCGCAAAATACATTCAATTCGATCTTTAAACATATATATATATATATAAAAGCAATATATAAAAATGGCGAAATTCACTTATATATCTTTTAACGAATTATTTATATTTATTTTATTTTATGCTTTCAGAAATACTTTTTATTCTACAATTTGAAATATTTTTCATCTAAAATAATCGCAGGATTATTTTTTAGAAAAGAAAAATTTTATGGAAATATCGATAAAAGTACAACATTTATATATATATAAAATCTTAAAACATCACATTTCTATAAAAAAAAAATTTCAAAATTTCTTTCTCATTAAACTACTTTCTAAATAATTTTAAAAAAATCGTTTATTTATTTATTTATATCTTATACTAACTTTTTTGAACATTCGTTAATAGTTTATAAGTTAATTTTGAACACTTGTTTCTATTTTATGAATCAATTTTGAACACTTGTTTTTATTTTCTGAGTAATTTTTGAACACTTGTTTCTACTTTCTGAACATTTTTAAATACGTTGTCAGTTAAAAATAGTTAATTTTTGTAATTTTTTTTTTAATAAAAACTTGGAATTATTATTTACCTATATGTACTTATTAATGAAAATGTTAATTACTATTAGAGAAACGATAAAGTGACTTTAATTCTTTTTTTTTTTTTAATCATATTTGAGTAATCAGTCATTATTTTTTTAACTATGTGTCGATAATACTTTTTTCATCTTAGTTACTAAATTATTTGTGGAAATCCTTAAATGTATTTAATACTATAGTTAGACAGATTTAAGTAAATCTTTGGAACATTATCCTAAGAACTATAGAAAAATTTGAATTGTTTAAATAACAATTTTGTTTATACTTTCAATTTTTTTTTTTTTTTAATAATTAATGAAAATTCAAACAAAATTGACTTGATGATCACTGTTTAGAGCTCTTCTAGAAATTCTGGTATCGGTTACAGTGCTTCTAAGTGTGCTTCTATCGATAGTATTTTTTTTCACGCCAAACAATCTCAAAAATCCATGTCTAAATCTACTGCTCATTAAATTATATAAAATTGGATTAACAGCACTATTAAGATAAAACATATTTCGACTAAAGTAGAGTAAATTATAGAAAATTTCTTTATCAATAGCCTCAACTTGTTTTTCAGGTGCGACAATAATGTAGAATGTAAGAATTTTAAATGGCGCTAGACAAATGAAAAAACTAATGACAACCGTTAATAACATGAGAATCACTTGTTTTTTAGCTCTATTATGATAGAGTTCACTGTTATTTGTCGTCGATGATGTGTCCCTCATTAAATGCCTCACAATAATTGAATAAAGAATCATTAGAATTAAAAGTGGCACAAAGAAAAAAAGTATCACCAATAACAGGAAAAAAGCTGTTGTCGCGTCTGTATTTGCTTGCATAAAACAAACTGGAATCAGTCTTGAATCTTGTTGAGTCTCGTTTCCTGAGAATGTTGTTGAATCCGATCCATTCAATTGCATTTCGCGATACTGCGGAATCCAGATCATTGGACTGCAATCAATTAATAACAAAAAAATACGAATGGGCGTCGAATCAAAAATCATATCACTTTTCTTTCTATTTAAATCGATATTGTTAAAATAAATAAAAAATTTCAATTGTTTTCAAATAGAACTAAATTAATTGATGGTAAATATTATTATTATATAATTTACAGATAAAGTGATATTTGTTTCAAGTTTAATTTCACTATAATATTATTAATTATAAGACAATATAGTTAATTAAGCTCTTTGAACTTCGAGGGGAATTTATTTGTAACAAAGAGAGAATTCTGCTGAGTTCTAAGCTCGAATTACCTTTAGTAATTATATGCCCAGATATTAAAGGGATCTCTTCAAACGAAATGAAAGCTACATTACTAAGTTTCTTACTATGTCTTTTGAAAATATTCATAATGAACAACTTATTCTAATTTTCATTCCACAAGATGATACATCCATCAAGAAACTTAATTCTATTTGAATATTTCAGTAAGATGAAAGTGATCTTTAATTAGTCTTTTAAATGAAAGAAGGTATATATACAAATTTTTACAAAAAAATTGTTAGCAAGATAATAAAAAAGAGGAATTGATAGCAAAGTATGCGAAAAGCACTTGAAAACATTTTTTCCATCACAAAAGTATTTAAAAAAATTTTAAAGAAAATAAACTATGCAAAAAAAAAAAAAAAAAAAAAATGTTGAATTAAAAAATTTTAAAGTAAAAAAAAATATATATATATATCAGGAAAATTGAGTCAAATCGAATTTGATTTTGATTCAATGATTCGACGCACATCAAGAAAAAAAAAACAAAACAAAAAAATCAGAACAAAATTTGTTCTTAATCCCAACAGGCAGACAATCTGTTCCCTCGGGCTCGTTTCAACGATCCTTTTCCCCTGAATTCTTATTTCGTCTTTCCATCCGATTGGCTCATGTCGAAAGGCGACAAGCAAAAAAGAGTGACAGGCTGCGTTAGCTTCTTATTGGTTGGCTGCAGTTCAATAACAGTAATGTGAAAAGTTTCTTTACAATAACTCGTTTGTGATTCTTCTGAATAACTTTTGCAAAAGTCGACGATTTTTCCACTTAGAACTTTTTTTTTTTATTTTATTTATTCATAAAACAAAAAAATCGAATAGAACTTGTAAAAGTGGATGATAAATAAAAAAAAAAATGGGTATTTTATTTCAAAATATTGACACAACTTTAAAAATTGTTTATTATTTATTAACCGAAATTCTTTATTTTTATTAAATTTGTTTATTAATAATTTAACATCTTTGAAAAAATACTATTTCTAATTTATTAAATTTTAAAAATTTAACGAACAAAACAATAATTGATTAATTGACGAGTTTTATTTATTTAAATGAGTATTCCTTATTTTTAGTTACTTGAGCAAAAACCATCATGTTTTTAATCAACACAATTACAATAAAGAAAAGAAAGTGACATTAAAAAGAGTATAGATAAATCCACTTAAAAAGTATATATATATATATATATACAAATTATATATAAAAATAAAGAAAAAAAATTGTGATACAAGACACAAGATATCAAACTGCAGCCAACGAAGACTCCACAAAATAAATTCTAGTTAATTGACATGGAAGCAGCAGAAAATAACAAAAAAAAGAAGCGTTTAAACAAAAACTGACATTATATAATTAGAAGCGAAAAATATACAGTTCCATTAGCCAAAGCAAATTCATCATCCTTTAGAATAAAATTAATAATTTGTACTAAATAAAAATTTTAATAAAATTAAAATTACCAAAATTTTCAAAAACATGTCCAATATAAAAAATAATTATTTTTATTTAAAAGTTTCCATATACATGATGGAATGAAAGAACAAAAAGAAAGAAAAATTGAACATCAAAAGAATCTGCACAACTATATCTTTTCCCAAGCACTATAACCGAATATCCCAGATTTGTTCTCTATAACTATCCGGAAATAGAAGTAAAACAGAGCGTATATAAAGTTTCACAGTATTTCATCGCATAGTTTCTGAGCTCTTTAAGTGCTGAACAAACTGAGAAGTCAATGGCAAGAATTTTGAGATAGGCAAAAAAAAAAACCATCATTCAATATGAAATATTACATATAAAATAGTATTACAAAAAATTAATTAATAAATTTTCCAATAAAAAAAAAATTTCGAATAATTATAAAAAATAAATGATGTACAGGAACAAAAAAAAAAAGATAAAAAAAAACCAATCAATTTATAAGTGTTATAAGGTCTGTGAACCAATATTCCTGTGGAATCACGTAATCTACGTCCAGAGATCTTTATGCTTCATAAGTTTTCTCCCCTGGGTAACTCGCTACGACGTCAAAACGATAATAGGGCTTCTTATAAATTCCTCGTTAGTTAAATTTATTATAAAAAAAGACCCATATAATATTCAACAAATCAAATAGTTATACAAAAAATATTCTAATTATGTTTATCATATTTTTCAAAAAAAAAAATAAATTTTTTTTTATATCTTCATGCCAAAATTGTCTTTCTAAAAGAATATATTTTTATTCTCTTTTTATAATATCCAAAGTCTGTACTGTAATACTGCTAATTATTTTCGAATGTTTCTAATTAAATTATCACTTGAAAAGCGTGATAAATTAGTCTAATTAGAGAATGATTTTCTATTTCCAAGACTAAGATCAACTGGAGAAGATCGTTACTTTAGACAAGAAAAGGCAATAATAAATGGGTAGTTGGAAATCCTCCGCGGAATATAAGCGGTTCTTGATAAGAGAGTTGAGTTTCAATGGGAAATTGGCCTAAAAAAAGAATACGGATGTAACAATTTTTTTTTTTTTTTTTTTTTTTTTTTGATAAGCATCAGCTTACTCCACTTGGAGCTTTTATAAGAACAGATCCTTTCTATATATAATTCGACTTTCATCTACAACCACTTGTGTCTAATGGGATCAAAGAGAATCAGGGAAAATTAAAGGAAAATCAACCGTCTAAAGAAAAACTTTAATAAAAAATGTCTTAACTAACTCCTACCAGCTCCTACCTTCCATTCTCTCTGATTATACAATATAATCAATTCATCAAAAAGTATTAAACTAAAAAGAAAAAAAGAAAATCAATTTTTCTCTTGAAAAATATCTTTAATAATTTCAGTTTTAACTTCGTTGCAAGAACAATACATCATAAAATAAAAAAAGAGCTTCTGCCTAGCACATTATTGTCTCTCTGAAAATCGTTTACTATGCACCGCATTTGCCAGAAAGGGGAACCCAACTTTCAGGGTTAAACGAATGAGAAAAACATAAAGGTCATGACAAGGGAAAAGTTACCAGCTTTTTTTTTTCAAGAAGAAATATGATTGCAATTTTAATATTGGTCTGTGGATTTTGTATATATAGGAAAGAAAAGTATAATAACTTTTTTTTTTAAATTTAAATCAGAATATATGCTTATTTAGAAAAACAATTAAATAAATGTCAGTGTATTTTTTAAATAGAGAGAACAATTTTAAAAAGGCAATTTTGATTTAATGAGTTTTATCTCAAATTTCCAATAAATTATTATTAAGCGGCTCTTTTGCTATGTTCAATAACACTTCAGTATTTAAACAAATAATCCGCTTTAATTTTAACATTATTCCATTATGATGAATATCATTCTCTCTATACTCGTAAAATCGATATTATTAAGTTTTATTTTTTAATAATAATTTTCTTATTAGCCAATATAATTGATCAATTAAAATTTATAAAAAAAAAAGTAACAAACTAATTAGTTAATTTCACACTGGATAACTTTGTAAATTAATGTGATTTTTAATTATATTTTATCGAATTAGATGCTCTCGCAATTTAAAATGCGATCCGAATTTTACTAAAGAAGTGAAAATCCACTAATTAAATAATTTAGCAATATTTTTTTTATTAAAAGTCAAATATAATTGAATAAACATTATATTTAATTACTAATTTTTAATTGAAAACAACTAATTATTATTACACTGAAAAAAAATTCAAATAATCGATTACTTGACTGTTATAAAATAAATATTTATTTCTAACAAATAATTTATTATTTGAGTCAGTTAAATACAAATTATTTAAATTTTATTAAAATTATTAAAATACAAAAATTACTGATTCAAATACAGTTTATATAATTCAATTATTTGGTTTCAAAAATTATTTGCTAAATATTTATTTGATAATAGTCAAGTTAACGATTATTTAAATCAAATAAATTTTTTTTCCAGTGTAGTTAGGAACTATTATCATCATCTCTCTTTTGAATTAGTGAAAAATGAGCTACTAATTCACAATAGTAAGAATTTTTACAAATCTTTAGTAAAAGATTTTGTTTACTAAAATTTCAGTAAAAATTAGTGAAAATTGTTACTAATTTAAATTAGTAGCTCAATTTTTACTAATTCTCTAGAGAGATTCATTATTTTGTAAAAAAAAATAATTTTATATTTATATAAAAATTTTATTTTAAGATAAAAATAAATGTTCAGATCTTATAGATAGATGCTTCATTGTCTAAAAGATATATAGATAAGAATAAGAAATAAAAAGTAACTTTTATTTTAAGCACGTGACTTTGAGCCTTCAATAATATAATTTTACAAAGTGAGATGATACACGTTTCTTTTGTACGTAAAAACATTTTCTGCATTTCCCCTTGTTCTGGTTTCCCCCCCCCCCTTTTTTTTTCTTTAATTTAATGCCATCCAAGACTCAAACCTATTCTGCACAAAAAGGAGGTCTATCCTTATCTAAAGAACACTCGACGCATTTTAAACACTTAGATTATTCACACATGCGAATTATTTTTGCGCACTATATATGTTATCTATATTTGAAATACTTTAAGACCTCGAAAGCTCATTTAATTTTCAAATAATAAACTGTCTTTTTGTTATAAATTACTAAAAAAAAAATTTTTGTCTCAACTAATATTCTTTTTAGTAAAATTTCGTTTAATTCACAGTAAAAAGAATAATAAGGGAAAATTTTAATCCTTATTCAAATATATAGTGAAAACGAGTTTTCGTTTGAAAATTAATTATCAATGACTTTTAAAAAGGGACATTGAGAAATTTGAAATTAGTTGGAAAATTTTAACTCGTAAATTTTGAGGGTGACTTTAAAATTACGGCCAATACATTATATTGTCAAGTGACTCGAGTCTAGGAGGATGACGAACGTGTAAGGTGTAAGCAGGGATATAGGTCAAAGTACAGAGCGACGCGAGTAAAAGGCAAAGAGAACCGCGTGCAGTAGAAAAAGCAAGAGATGGACGAGCAGATAGGTAGACAAATAAGTTTATTATTCTATACTATAGTGTAAAATCCACTCTCAAGAACTGTGTAAAGCATAACATGCATCCACTAATGGCACACAACAGATTAAATGTTTAATTCAAATATACTGCACACAAAAGTGAAATTTAATGAATTTGGCTTATTAAGATTTAACGGAATTTACAACATTTATAACTAAACTTCATTAACAATAATATTTGTTCATGAGTTTATAAATTTTCCCTCAATCATTTATTGAAATATTAATTATAATTACTCTCCAAATCTGATAATATTACTAATTATCCAATGTTTCGAAAATTTTGAAATTGCTATACTATTTTGGATTTATTTAATCAGATTAATTTTGATCTTCAATAGAAAAAATTATTTTCAAAAATTCCAAAAAAATTTATTTCGCAATTCTTTTGCAGGAAAATACATATATATATATATATATATATATATATATTATAATCCTATGCGCGGTATTATATATGAGATTGATGTAATGCGCATTATTATAACGAGTGTTGCAGAAAGGAATGTACCATAAAATAAGCTAAAGTAAACTAAGTGGTATGGCCCTTTGTGTGCAAATAAGTAAATTGCAGGTGCTAGCAAATAAATTCACAAGCACTGGCAAATTGACATTAGTCATTGTCAACTTTAAAGCATCTAATAGAGAGTTTCTAGATACGTGCAAGATTTATATATGTTTCTTACCTTGTACAAGCAGCAGCAGTTGCCCATGCCAGCAAACATAAACAGGTGGCCCTCGTTTTAGTGCAGACATACCTAAACGAAAATTGAAATCAGTTTTGATCCAAAATTCATATTTTGATCTTCATTTGTCAATCATCATTAAAATTTTGAAATTTCACAAAATTTTTCTTCTTACGTTAACAAATTTAATTTTAATTTTCTTATTAAAAAAAATAATAATTTACTATAAATTTGATTTTTAATTTGAAAATGAAGAATCAAATTTTGATAATACTCACCCTGCCCTTAGTGGCTCACAAATTGCGTAATAACGTTCAAAACTAATGGCCAATATAGTTAAGACTGAGGCGTGAGCTACTGTTAATTCCATGAATGGTACCGCTTTGCCTGAAACAAAAAAATTAAAATTAGTAATGAAAATAAAATTATCTGAAAAAAATTAATTTTTTTCTTCGCCTCTTATTAAATAATTAAAATGAAATTTTTATATCTGTACAAAAATAAATTTTTATAGAATAATTATTTTTAAAATATATCAGAAAACTAAAAGAGACAATTATTTTAGAAAATTATTAAAATTTCAATATTCAGTATAATATAGGATAGGAACGATAAGAATTCATGAATTTTTACAACCGACATTTGGATTAAACAAGAATATAAATATGTCAAATTTACTTTTGGAGAATTTTTCTATTGACATTTTATCGAACATTCTTCCTGAGCTAATAAAAATGTTTACTACACCGAAACATTACTTTTATTCAGTAGAGATATGTCGTTTCAATTCAATTATCAATTTTATTTCCTGCTTGCGAATTTCGTTGTCCAAATTTATATACGCGCTGGAATTTGAATAATTCTTTTATAATTTTACATAAATCAAAATTAAACAATTCAATTTCTATTTTTAGTTTAATAAAAAAAAAAAAATCAAATTGAAAAATATACATATATTTTTCATAGAATGTTTGATTTCCAGTCAATAGCCAACTTTTATATTCTTCAAATATTTTCTCTTTATATTTCAAATCCATTGGAACTAATTTTTCACACAAAAGCTTATATACACACACACAAAAGCATAAGACACTATTGAAACTCTTATTGTAGTTCTTGAGTAAACATCGTGTTCTTTTTTTTTAAAAATATTTTTATTATCTGTCGAATAAAAGTATGAAATAAAAGTATTTTTTTTAAATCGTATGGATTCTTTATACATTTCACGGGATTTTATCTCGAAAATTTAATTTTTTGTCCATTGTCCATTGTAGCTGGTCCATACATTTTTTTGTAAAGAACTACAAATGAACAAATCACTTTATGTAAATTCTTTTTCTCGATTGGATCTGTCGACAGTAGGAATTCAAATTAATTGCCTAACTCTTGTTTACATTTCCCTTTGTGAAGCTTATCGTATTAGAATGTCAATTATACATAATTAAAAGATACTCTCTTTCAAAAAGAAGCCCTTCATTTTTACTTCCTCCATCACAATTATAAGGTCAATGATTTTTCACCAAAATATTTATATTTGGCCTAAATGTCACAATTATTATCTATGAATTCTTATTTCTCTTATTTGTTTGTTTTAATTTGTTCAAATAAGCGTTTTTTTAAATTATAAAAAAAAAATTCACTTGACAATTTTGAAAATAAAATTTTTTTTTCAATAATAAATAAATCCCCGCGAATACAAACAAAAAACAGAGGAAAAATTTTTCCCTCGCTCTTAGTTGTGTGATTCATTATTACAAATATATTTTATCTTGTGCTCGTTCGTATTCACAAAGTCATAAAATACATTTCGTAATGGTCTTTTGTATTTACAACCATTGTTTTAAATATGGAACTGAAAGAGAAGTGTCTCTCTTACGGTAACCGTCAAAAATTGATGAAAGACACAAATTTATATACGAAAAATATAGTTCCAAAAATTGTCATTTTTACCAATCATAATTTTATAATTTAAATCATTTTGATTTCAATTCTCTTTCTTTCGGTAAATATTAATTTTAAAATACCAATTTCGTTAAATGGTTTTTCCTTTAAGCAAATTTTATAAATTGCAAACGTCAGCATCACACACACACACATATATATCTTCCTATATTACAAAAAGATATCGCCGCCGCTGTTTCAAGAATTCTTGACCTAGGAGGGGGGAGTCCGCCCTCCTAAATTTTGAGGTTATGTTCGTTTCAAGGCTCTGAATTTAGCCGCAAGCCCCCCCCTCCCTCCTCTCATTTCCCCTCCTCCGCCAAAATGGCCTAAATTTTGAAGTTATGTTCGTTTCAAGACACTGAATGTAGCCGCAAGTCCCCTCCCCTCCTCCATCAAAAATGACCTAAATTTTGAGGTTATGTTCGTTTCAAGGCTCTGAATATAGCCGCAAGTCCCCCCTCCCTCCTCTCATTTCCCCTCCACCGCCAAAAATTGACCTAAATTTTGAGGTTATGTTTGTTTTAAGACCCTAATAAAGCAGACTTTTTAATAATTTATTGGTTTTTAGGCAATTTCATTGAAATTATTTTTAAAAATAATATATAAGGGATAAAATTCGATAATAATGTTTTTTAATACCTTGGCATTTTCAATCTGGAATTAAATGCCTTAAGGATTGGCGAATTTTTATTATATTTCCTGATACGAAGGTTAGAAGGAATATACTAAGAGCAACGGTAATTCGTTGCAGGGGGCAGTTTTCCTCTAGTCTCTCCTTTCTCTAAGTCCTTCAATTCTTCTTATATATACGAAGAAACTTTCAATACCATTATATATACTTTCCTCTCGCCTTCGACTCATATTAAATCAAAAAAAAAAAAAAAAATTTCATACGAAAATAATTCTAAATGTATGATTAAATATTTTTATTTCTCATCGCAAAAAAAAAAAATTGGTGTGTTATTTTAACAAAAAATTCAAAAAATTATTGAAAATCTTATTTTCCCCTCTTCACATATACTAAATGGTATGTGAGCGAAAAATTAACACTTTTCCCTTTTCGTCACAGTATGAAGAAATTTGCGTTCTTTATGTAAACTTACAAATCCCTGGGTAAAAAAAATGAGAGAAAATTTTCTTTTTCTGTGACACATTTTTCACATTATGCGTATTGATTTATTCATATTGTATTTAAAAAAAAGAAGTTTAAAACAAAAAAAAAATAAATAAACGACGAGAAAATAACAAATAATTTAACTTTGCAGTGCTTATATGAAATGCGTCATTTTTCTTTAGAAATTCTCTCCTCGAGTCTACATTGTTTTTTTATTGGCCGCATTTTCGTTTTTGTTTCCCATTTGCAAACTCGACGACAAGAAAATCCTCTCGATCACTTTCACGGAATATACAAAGCTTTTCAAGAGAATAAACTCCATACTTTTATTATTATCGTAAACAATCTCTCGGAGAAACTATATATATATATATATATATATGTATATATAGTTGGCAAGAATGCGGCAAAAGCGCTTTTCAGTTATTTGGTATATTCCCTTTAAAATTTTCTTTTTATTTATTCTCCCTTTTGTTTATGAGAAAAAAAAAATCAAATTTCTAAACAATTTAAAATTATTTTCATATTTAAAAATTTTCTTTTAATTTGAAAAAAAAAATCAAAATTATAATAACTATAATTAAAAACTATTTTCTTTTTGAGAGTTAAAAAAAGAAATTTGATTCCGCGAATACGAAAAAATTTTGTTATATGTCTCTTTACGTAAACAGGATGCGCCTTTGTGCCTGCCTATCCATTCAAATGTAAATTTTCCCATAATGCGAAATTTGCATTCCCTTCTTTCACAGTAGTTACACGCGTTCTTGTGTTTTAACGATATCACATAATTCTTTTACATTTAAGAAATGTATATCACATAAAATATGTCAACGTTTGAAACAATGAACGCAATATATTTTTCACAAAAAAAAAGAGAAATATTATTTTAAATAATTATTTTTAATTTTCTTTTTAAATTTTAAAAATTAAATACTTTTCATCAAATAAATTGTAAACAATATTTTTTTCTTCCCTAATTTATTGTATATATATATACAATAAAAAAATAAATCTTGTTCATTATTGAATATCATTTACACACGGGATAATGTGAATTCATCTGTGAAATTAGCAAATCAATCGCATGCAAAACGAATAGAATAACAATTCAATATATGGTATTTTATGTATATTTAAAAAAAACCGTGAGAACCGATTGTTATATATATATATATATATATATGTATAAATATAAAAATAATCATGCTTGCATTGATAGGTGATATCCTGACAAGAGAATTCGAATCGGGCGAGCAATTTATTTTGTCACATCGCGTCAGAGAGTTATTTATTTATCGTATTGCTGACAATCGAATGCCGAAACAATTTAGTCTTTTATGCGCAATTGAAGATTCGATAGATGAGGCAAAAGAGCTATCGATTCTCAATTTACGAGCTTTAGGTGTTGAAAGCTTTTCACCATATGAATTAATCTCATAAAACTTTAAGAAATATATTTTTCCCATATATATATATATATATATATATATATATATATATATATATATATATATATATATAAATAGATAAAAGAAAACTGTACACAGTTTCACAATGAAAAACAAAATTTATTTGATTAAAATAATCGGTTACTTGACTATCAAATAAATATTTATTTGCATCAAATAATTATTATATTTGAAATGGTATTTTTTTTTAATAACAGAAATTATTTAAATACACTTTATTTAATTTAATTATTTGGTTTCAAAAATTATTTGGTTCAAGTAAATATTCAATTGGTAAAGTCAAGTAAACGATTATTTTAATCAAATACATTTTTTTTCATTGCATGAATATGAAAATATTTTCATACTATTAAAATAGAATGTTAATTTTCAATTAAGCACAAAATTATTTATTCATAATTAAATAGGAAAAAAATGGTTTTTTATATAACTATTAATATTAATAATTATTATTAATAAATTATATTAATATTATATTGTATTAATATATATTATTTATAGTGATAAAAAATATAAGTTTTAATTTCTAAGAGATATATAAATTTGGTTAGGTAATTTTCCTTGATTTTCGTATCTATACACGAATTGGTCGTATTTCGCTCACTTTCAAGTTGTCAACAGGAGTAAAGTGTGTTACCTTATTTAAGAAGAATACAATAAAAAGAATCTTTTAAAGTTGAATTTAAATTCCTTTTCCCGAGGTAATAATATAAGAGCTACTAATCTAAACTCGGCAACAGTAGCGCAAGTCGTTCCTAGTCAGACGCTGATTGTCTGACCAATTGGCTGTAACTACTGAAAAATATTCACCATTGACTTATATATAATATACAAGTTCATAATTCATTTTCTTATTATAG